GGCACCAACTTCCTCTAGTCAGGGTCACTCTGCTCTGAGCTGAGAATAGACGGCAGGGGGTAGGGTGGTGGCAGGGAGGCCAGTCAGGCTGCCCTGAGAGGGGGTGGCTCAGACCATGGTGGAAGTGTCTTGAAGCAGGGCCAGCAGGCTTTCCTGATTGGCTTGCTATGGGGCTGAGCAGGGGGAAAGGAAGGAGAACCATCAGGTTCAGGCCTGAGAGTTGGGAGGACAGATTGTCACTCAGGCGGGCCAGCTTGTGGGAGCTGCAGGTCTGGGAGTGCTTAGGAGGTCTTCTGGAATGTGTTTTGTGGGTCTGGGATGCCTCACTCACATCCACGTGGAGCCCTTAAGTGGATGTGTCTGAGTCTGGAGTCCCCGGCAGCTGTCTGGAGTCTTGATTCTAGGTGATACTGGAGCCCAGCAAGGCAAGGTGACCTGGGGAGTGAGTGCTCACTGGCCCACAGAGGGCCTGCTGTGTACCCATGCTAAAGGAGGAGGAGGGACAAACCTGTCGTGGTCCGGTGCCAGCCCTGGGTTTATTACTATTTTGAGAAACAGATTCTGTCTTGGTGAAGCAGTTAGAAACCTTCAAGATGGAATAAAATGCAATATTTGATTTAAAAGGTTCAGACTGAGGGCAAAGGAGGCTGAGGCAGGTGGGGGCTGGAGTGCTCAGAGCAGGCTTGAGGAGAGTGGGTGCTCGTCCTGCACCAGGCCAGGTGGAGGGGAAGGGCATTCTAGGTAGCAGGAATAGAATGGGTAAAGGTGCAGAAGGAAGAGTGAGGTGGGGGATGGCTGGACTTGGCTGTGGTGAAAGGGGTGAGGGTGGTGGGAATTGGGTATTGAAGTTCCTGTTCCAGCTCAGAACTGTGTGGTTTAGGGTAGTTACTGATCCCTGCTGAGCCTCATCTGCAAAATAGGATGGATGTCCCTTCTTCTTCATAGGGCTGCCAGGAGAGTGCGTTAGAGTCTAATCATTAGATCAGGGTGTGACATGCTTATACATGACACACAGTGACCCTGCACCCCTCCCCGGTCAGGCTGGGAAAGCTCTCCAGCCCATGCCTCAGTGGGCCTTTTTCTGGCAGCCCAGCAAAGAGTAGAACTTTGTGACAGCCACTGTGGACACTGCGCGGCCTGCTGTGAAGCCAGGCACACCAGAGGTTAGAGACACCTCAAGTGCCCAGGGCCCTGGTTGCCTTTCCCGGCCCCCTGCTATTTTAGGTCTCAGTCCAATGGATGAGTAGGCCTTGTCTGGCCCCACCACAGCTAATGACAGCCTAGCCTGCCAGGCTGTTTAAAAACAGCTCCCCTATTTTGATCAACAGGAGGCGGCCAACCCATCTTCTTCCCTAGGCGGTGCGAACATGGGATGGTTGTGAGGAAACCAAGGTCTCAGTAGGAAGACGGGCCGTTGTCTCAAATCACAGATGTACCATCTGTGAACCTTCTAGGGTGGAGGGGACAGGCGTTAACCTTTACACATGGTCTGAATTTAGATATAATTCTACCCTTGGCAGTAGGGCTTGGCAGGCATCACTCCACCTCCACCCCATAGAATCTCCCTCAGACCTAATCTTTGCTGTGTCTCTCAGAACAGGTGTCCCCATGGGAGTGGGTCACAGAGAGGAGGATAGTACTAGTGTGGCCAAGTCCAGGGCTCAGAGGTTCCCATCCCCACAGTCATTGTGCCTGACCTCTTTAATTGAAAGTAGAGGCGGCTCTTGCCCAGTGGAACTGTGGGTGATTTCCTTTCTTTCTTTCTAAGAAAATGTTTTTAAATTGGCTAGAGGCCTTTGGTTGGAGGCAGGGAAAGGATGGAAGCAGCCTGAGGGCTGGGGTGGTGAGTGCAGGGTGTTGTATACTGGCCTTGGAAATAGGTGGGATTGGGTTGTATTGGCCACGGCTTGTATTTAGGTAAAAAAAATTTTTTTTTGCCTGCTTCCTAATTTGTAAACAAAATTGATTTTTTCTTTTTTGAGACAGAGTCTCACTATGTCACCCTCAGTAGAGTGCCATGGCATCAACAGTTCACCTCTTATCTCTTGATTTTAAGCGATGCTCTTGCCTCAGTCTCCCAGAAAGCTGGGACTACAGGCGCCTGCCACAATGCCCAGCCTTTTTTTCTTTTTTTCTGTTGCAGTTGTTTGGGTTTGAACCCACCTGCCTCAGTGTATGTCGCTGGCACCCTAACCACTGAGCTATGGGCACCAAGCCAAAATGGATTTTTTTTTTTTTAAGCCCATTACTTGGTTAATTCTTGAAACAGCAGACGTCCCACTTGCCCCTGCCCCTGCCCCAGACACTCTCCTGCAGCAGCACCGGAAGCCTTCTCTGGTCTCTTGGCAGGGCCAGACCTTGGCTCAGCTTCCTTGCCCCCTCTAGGCCTCCTTCCACCCCCCTTCCCGATGCCATTAGCTCCTCTCGCTCTGTCTGCCCTGGCCAGGAGTGCCTTTGGAATACAACTCATTCTTTAGCCCCTTCCTGTCCTTTACACACCCTTTGCCTCTCCAGGCTACCTGACTGTTCCTAGCTCACCTCAGATAGCACCTTCTTTTTCACGCCCTCCCTGGTCTGGGGATTTGCGCTTCCCCTATCCAGAAGTCCAGCTGCTCTGGCTGCTTCCAAGTGATCTTCTGCCTCCCTCTCCAGACCACCAGCATCTTGGAGGCAGGGCCTGTGCGTGGTTCATCTTTACATGCCCAGCATGCCGCGAGGTGTGGCTTTCCCCTCCCTGCTGGATGAATGAATGGACTGGTGTGCCTCTTCATGGTTTACAGGTGCCTTCTGCACCTGACTTTGCTGAGAAGTCCAACCTCCATAGATGGGGGACTGAGAGTTTAAACAGCAGAACTAGACTAGAATCCAATGTGGATTCTGTCTCCCAGGAAGTCAGAGCGCTGTCCTTGGCCCCCTTATCCCTCTCAGGCACAGCCTGCTATCAGCCTTCCATTCTTGCCCCATCTCTGAGGCCCCCTTGCATATTGCCCTCCACTCCGAGACCCTGGCAGTGAAGATAGCAGAGGCTCTGAAGACAGAAGTGGGAGGTTGGGACTGCAGGCCCTCTGTAGCTTCCACTCCAGCTTTGATTCTTGGGACTGTGGCTGTGCTACATCTGGGCCCGGGGACCATCCCAAAGCGGCCAAGAAAGAGACGCATATAGACCAGCACTGTGTGCCTGTGAGGGAAGGCTCCCAGCTGCTGCCCAGCTGTTAGGAGACCAGCCCTTCCTGGCTCCCCGAGGCTTGGGGCTTGCTGTGCCCTCCCATGGATGTCTGTGGCGCCTGTGTGTCCCTGTGCCACATCCTCTTCTGGGAGCAGAGAGAGCTGCCAGGGGCCTGGGCAGAGGCCGGGGGTGGGTGGGTGGGCAGTGCATCTATGATGGTTAGAGGAGTAAAGGCAGGCATGGTGGCAGAGGGACCTACAGGACAGCCTGGCTCTGTGTGTCCCTGGCCAGTCCCTGGTCTATCCCTCCTAACCTCCACACTCTGAGGAGAGCTGTGAAGAGATCCTCTTTAAGTCTCTATCCTTCAGAGCATGAATCTCCCATGAGTCTTTTGTTAACAGGTCAATTCCACCCCCAAACCTTCAATGGCTCCCCAGGGCTGAAGCCATAGTGCTCAACTCTGGACATGGAAGGTCACCCAGAGAGCTTTTCATAATCTGCATGCCTAGACCCCAGCCACTTACCAAGATTCTCATTTGATTGGTTTGGGGTGGGGCCCAGGCACTTGCATCTTAAAGCTCCTCGTGGTTCTCATGGATGGCAAGGTTGTATACCACTGACCAGGATAATCTTCTGGGCAGCACAGGCAGGTTCCATAATTGGGTCCTGGCTCAGTCTCTCTTCTCATTCCTCCTCTTCCTTCCTCCAGCCAGGCTAACCCCTCTATAGCCCCTACACACTGGGCACCATCATCACTTCTGTGGTATCTCCGCCTGGTGCATGGTCTTCATGGCCCAGCTCACACCCTCTGGGAGATGTATCTTTTTTTTTTTTTTTTTTTTTTTTTGAGACAGAGCCTCAAGCTGTCCTCCTGGGTAAAGTGCCGTGGCATCACAGTTCACGGCAACCTCCAACTCCTGGGCTCAAGCTAGTCTCTTGCCTCCGCCTCCTAAGTAGCTGGGACCACAGGCGCCCGCCACAACGCCTGGCTATTTTTTGGTTGTAGCCATCATTGTTGTTTGGCGGGCCCGGGCTGGATTTGAACCTGCTACCTTAGGTGTATGTGGCTGATGCCTTAGCCACTTGAGCCATAGGCACCGAACCTGGGAGATGTATCTTTAGTCAGTTTTGTTGCCACTGCCTGGCAGGTGGCCTGGTGCCACAGCAGGTGCTCTGGAGTGCCTGCTGCCCCTTGGCCTGGGAGCCTTTCTCCTGCTGTGAGTGCTGGGGTCTGAGGGTGGTATGCATTCCACATCCATCTGTGGTATTAAACCTTTTGAGAAATAGGCAAGGAAGTCAGTTAGGGACCAGGTGGCCTCACAAGCCAAAGTGGAGTTTCTCCCCTCCCAATGGGAGCTGAACCTAGTGACCCCAGGCAGAGGGAGGTGGAGCTGAGAGCTTAGCCTTGCCCCACTGCCACCAGCCCCATCCAGGTGCTGGTCAGACCCTGGTCAGACACTGGTCAGCCCTTGGGCTCCTCCAGTGGGAATGGGGGAAGAGATGTTTACTCTGGGATGCCAGGAGTTGGCAGCAGGCATCCTCCCTAGTGTCTAGAGCTGAGCATTGGTCCTGCCACCAAGAGGGCCTCTGCACACCCGGGGCACCATGGAGGGTATCTATACGGAGCCCTGCTGTGGACGGCCTGTTCTCACCTGGCCACCCCTCAAAACGGGATGCTGGTTATGATTTCACAGTGGGGAAATGGAGGCCAGGTGGCCTGTCATGCCTCCCTGTCTTCCCCACAGCTGGGTGGGGGCCGCCCTGGCCTCTGTTCTGGGTGGCAGGGTGTGCGTGCTTGTGTGCCCCACTTAGCCCACCCTGCCCCTCCCTCCAGGCCAAGGCAGCCAAAGAGGAGCAGGAAACGCGGCGGCTGTGGCTGCGGAGCCTTCAGTACCTGGAGCGCTACACCTACCTGATCCTCTTCAATGCTTACCTCCACCTAGAGCGTGCTGGCTCCTGGCAGATGCCCTTCAGTGCCTGGATGCGAGAGGTGAGAGCGGAAGGCTCAGGTTGGGAGGCCCACAGGACGGTGGTCAAAAGGGCGGGGCTGGTCCCTGTGCATTGCCTGCGGGAACCCTGGCCACAGGCTCACCTGTTGGTGGGAAGAATTCTCACCTCCCACTCTGCAGGAAGCTTCCAGTTGGCTGAGATTTTATCTCATTTGACTCTGGGTCTCCTGCATGGTGTCTGCTCTTGGTAGGCAGTGGATAGTGGACAAGCAGAAGGCTGGGGAGGGGAGATTTAATGAGATACATGCAGTGCCATGGGCTGGACCCCCTGTTAGGCAGGTCTGTGGGAGACTGAGCAAGGGCAGAGCACAAAAGAAGAGCTGAGGAGGAGGCTGGGAATGGAGAGGTTAGGTGATGTGTTCAAGGTCGCCGTTAGAGCTGGTGGTTGGCTCCAAAGTCTAATGGCCTAAGTTGCCACTCTCGCCATTCAAAGTCCAGAGTCCCTTTCTGCTTGGCCTCCTGGCTCTTCCTCCACGTGGCTGTTTTTAGAGACAAAGCTGCCACTTCGGCTCCTCTGGGTCACATGAAAGGACCCCTTCTCTTCTTGATGAGGGGCCTTAATTACCCCTCTGCCAGCAAACAGGCCCCTCCTGACCTCACCGGTGGGTCCTGGTGGTTCTAACCTAGAGTCAAGGCTGGAATTAGCTCCTGTGAAGTGGGTGGGTAGAGAACTGAGCCAGTGGCCCAGCCAGAGTGGGCATGGGAAGAGCACAGGGGCTGGGCAGGTGTGCAGGTGGACTGAACTGTGAGGGGCAGGGGGCCCACTATAGTCCCCAGTGGGAGGAAGGGGAATGCAGAGGACCTTCTGGTGGGCAGGCCTTAGGATGTCAAGGTGGGGGAGGCATTTGAAATTCCCCCTGTTGCAGGGTGTTGAGTCAGGACACCTGGGTGGGGGATACACCTGGTGTATCACGTGTATATCTAGGGTGTAACATGACCTGGGGGGTCGTGTTGGACTGTTCTCTTGAGCAGGCCTGGGCTCAGCTTCCTCTTTGAGCCTCTGGAAAGGAGTGCAGGTGCGGGCTCAAGGGCACTTCCTGCTCAGGTTCTGCTTGGAGAATGGAAATTGGGGGACTTTGAGAGGGAGGAAGCTTCATCCCTTTTGTCAGCTGAATCTGGGGCAGGAGTTGTCCTGGTAGAAGTGTGGGTTCCAGCCTGGGGGTTCCTCAGCCCCTCTTCTGGGGTTGAATGGAGGGTAGGGCATGAGGGTTTCCCTGAAAACCAGAAGGGGTGAACCTATCCTCTTGATATAGCTTGAGGATTATCCTACCCATCTTCTAGGGTGATGGGGGAGAGAGAAGGGCTGGTGGTCAGGTGGTTTGAGTCTGCTGCCAAGGCCTGAACTTCGGGGCAACACGGCCAAGCATCTGGGAGGCCCCAGCTAAGCTGACCCCGCCGGGGCAGAGTCTGACAGCCCAGACTCAGAGCCAGGGGACTTCTGTTTGCAGTTCGTGTTAACTTTCTCCAGCCCTTCCTGTGGGCCCAGCTGTAGCATCCATGTGGCTGGGCCTATGCACCTGAGTGTCTGCATGGGAGTGTGGGGTGCATGGGGCCCAGTGGGGTGCCAGCCTCTTGCGCTGTCTCTGTGTGGAGTGCTTGGTGTCTGCTGAGTGCCTCTGTACTGTGGAGCCCTCCTTCTGTCAGTCCTGTGAAGTAGAGATTATTTTTCCTGCTATGAGGATAGGTTACTAGAAGTCAAAGTGCAAACTTTACCAGGTCTCTGAGCTAGTGGAGGGCAGTCCTGGGCCCTAGACTCACCCATGTGCTTAGAGTCCAGGAGGGGAGGATAGCAGGATGGACGGTGCCCTCCCTTCCCTGAGTCACTGCCCCCACCTCTGTTGTCCTCACCAGGTGGCATCGAAGGCTGGTGTCTATGAGCTCCTCAACCAGCTGGGCTTCCCTGAGCTGGAGAGCATGGAAGACCAGCCCTTCTCCAGGCTGCGCTGCAGGTGGCAGGAGCAGAGTCAAAGCCCGGAGCCCTCTGCCTCCGGGGACTTGCTGTAGGGGCCTCTCCTTGCCCCCTCCAGAGGGGCCTGTGCAGGCTGGGAGTGTCAGAGGTGCTCTTACTAGGAGGGGCCCTTGGGCATGCTGGCCTTGAGGACCATTCCCCCACTTCCTAGAGAGACTGGGGTGAGGCTGGGAGCCTTTTTGAAAAGAGCTTTTTATGGACATTGAGACAGCACAGTCATTCCTTGAAACCACAGAGGCGTGTGGATGCCTCCAGGGAGGCCCCAGAGTGCACCTTACAGACAGGCTGGCCTTTGGCCTCCAAGGAGCTCACTGCCCAGTTGCCAAACAGAGCTCATCACCTCTTCTGTCCCCTTCTCCTTTCCACATTGGCCTGGCAGCCCCTGGCTTGGAGCCAGCCTGGCCACTGTTAGATGCATGCCCTGCCCCCAGCCTTCCTTTCCTTGTTCCCCATCCCCTCTCCCCTCTATCGCCTTTCCCCTTTTCCTGCTGGTGGAGCACTGCCTTCAGGCCCCTGCCTGCCTGGAGTAGGTGGGGGCAGTGCTCTGGGTGAATTTATTACTTTAAAGGACAAATCTGTGTGGCCTGGTAGGTCTGGGCAAGGCCCTTGCCTCTTCTTCCTTTCCTCTCCCTTTGCCCTGTAGCTGGCAGGATGGTGGCGGTTTCCCAAGTAGCTGGAACTCTCAGGGAGTTTCTCTTGGGGAGAAGAGGGTTTCTAGAAGGCAGGGGCTGCACATTGGAAGAGAGCTGTTGTCTGCCCAGGAATCTGGGTGGAAGGTACTAAGGGGGCCCAAGCCTGGGGATGCAGGTCCCTCTGCTCCCCTACCCCAGCCTCAGCAGCCCAGAATGGCCCAGTGCCCCCCACCCTGCTGAAGCAGGACCCCCCAAGGAGTGCTGGATCAAGAGCAGTTGCTGGGTTGCCTCATAGACAATGGAGTGTGCAAGAGTGGGCCAAGATTGGTGTGAGGGGGTCACCTGGACTCAGGCCATCCTTTGTGAGGTTCTTTGAGCCACCTCTTAGTGGGTGCAGAAAGGGTCAGACCCTGCTTAGCTGGAGATGCCGACATCCATTCTGTCCACAGTGGAAAGGCTGCTCAGAGAGATAGCAGAGAAGTGCCACCTTTGAGTTGAGCCTTGCAGCTCTTCCAGCTGGGAGCAGAACAGTGAGGAGGCTGCCCCCCTTGCCTGGCTTGTTGGGGCCAGGGGAGCCTCTCCCTGGTTGGGCACAGGCACTTCTGCAGAAAAACAATGGATATGGTCACTGGTCATGATATTTGAAGAAGGGGAAAAGAGGTCAGAGTTATTCACATCTGCCCAGGATTGGCTGAATTCTTTTGCAGAACTACTGTATGTCTGTTCACTACAATTTTCAGGTTTGTTATTGTTTTTACTTCTATTTTTGCATGTATTAAAAATTTTAATCTCTTTGCAGACAAGGTCTAGATGGGGAGTCAGAGGTCAGGGCTGAACTGGGAGGGATCCTTTGAGTTCTCATGGTTAGCCCTGACATTCAGCTGTGCTGGGACCACTGGCTGATCACCTCACCTCGCTGCCTCAGTTTCCCCATCTGTAAAATGGGAGAATAATAATTGCCTACCTACCTCACAGGGGTGTTGTGAGGATTCATTTGTGTTTTGTGGGTTTTTTTGTACAGAGCTATTAAGCATTAAAAACAGCTAAATGTGAAGTGCACCTGGCTGCTGACTTGTCTTCAGTGTGAGGCAAACCCTTCTAGAACTGATACAACGGGCTGGGGTAGGTGGGCAAAGGAAATCGAGAGCATCTGCCCCAGCACTTTTGATTTCTAGAGAATGTGGGCTTTTGCAGACATCCGTCTCTTTGTCCCCTCCCCAGCTGTGCCTTCCCTTTTCACACTGGCTGCCCAGGGCTGCTGTGCTGAGCCCCTCCTGCAAGAAGGCAACATCACAAGCTAATTCTCACTAAAGTCTGAAGGACTGGTGTATCTAGGGAAGGTATATGGAGCAGAGTGAAATTTGGGGTCTCTGAAGGAGGGTGAACCTCACTCTTCACTCTCTCCTCCAACCCCTGTGGGCCCTACTTGGCCCCTGGTTGATTGAACACACTGTTGAGATATTGGTGTGTGTAGAGGTAGTGGGAGGATAAGGTAGAGAAAGCACCGACTCCAGGTCTCTCCCAGACTCTTGCAGGGTCAGGGAACCCTCTGGGTTGTCATCTGAGGTCAGATGAGGGTGGTCAGAGTGGAACCCAGAGAGGTTGTCCCCAGCCCAGGAGAGAAGCCCTCCTGGGTTGTTTCCCAAGCCCAGCAGGTGTAGAATTGTCTTCCCTGGTCCAAGGATGCTCCATGTGGCTCTGAACACAACTCTAGAGCTATGTGCATTGACATGTGCTGGGGAGGCTCTTCCTGAGATGGGGGGCCCTGGGCAGGGATACATAGGGTGAGTGGCTGTGCCCATGTTTGTCTCCCCAAGTTCTCCCAAGCCTTTTATGGCCTGTGGAGGGCATCTAGCACTTACACAAACAGTACTGACTCACATTTTAGTATCTCCTGCCTGTCAGCAGTATCTCAGCCCTCCGATTAAATGAGTTAATACAGCACAGGAAAGGAAGAGACAGCCTATGGAACAGGGGGAGATAGTTATAAACCACTGTCTGGTAAGGGTTACTATCGAACATATAGGAGAAACTTAAACCACTCACTAGGAAAAGAACAAAGAACTCAAAAAAAAAAACGGGCAAAGGACCTGAATAGACGCTTCTCCAAAGAAAACATACAAATGGCCAACAGGTACATGAAAAAATGTTCAGTGTTGTTAATTATCAGGGAAATGCAAATGGAAACCACAATGAGGTATCACCTTACCCTTCTAGGTTGACTTTGATGAAAAAGAGAAAAGACAAGTGATAGGACAGAAGAAAAGAGAACCCTTGAACACTGTTGAAGGTATTGTAAACTACTACAGCCATTCTGGAGAACAGCATACAAGTTCCTCAAAACGGCAAGAATAGGATTACCCTGTGATTCAGAAATCCCGTTGCTGGGTAGGTGTACATCTGAAGGATATGGAATTAGTATATGGAAAAGATCTGCACACCCATGTTTATTGCAACACTGTTCACAATAGCCAAGGTTTGGAATAGATGTAAGTTGTACATTAAAGGATGAACGGATAAGAAAAGGTGGTATAGGCCC